TTTATCTATCTAAGTTAATTAATTAACCTTTAGTACTCGGAGATTTTAATTTTAATTCATTGTTTTATAATTTAATTTATTTCTAACTTATTAAACAGTTTTAATTGATTATTATGTAATTTTTGTTTTATATTAAATAAATCTTGCTTGGGTATTTGGTCATCAAAGTTTTACCATTTTTTTAATTAATAAATATTTCATAATATTTATTAGATTTTTATAATAGAAATATTTTATTTTATTTATATTTTATTTTATATATAAATTTTTTTTTGTGTATTAAATTTAAAATAATTTTTTTTTTTCATTTGTATATTATTATATATAATATTTATATATTTATAATATATTATATATATATATTTCAAATATATAAATATAATTTAAGTATATATAATAAATAAAATTAAAAGAATAATAATTTTATATATATATAATATAATAGTTTTATTTTTATTTTAGATAAAAAATTAATACAAAATGAAAATTTTAATATAAATATAGAAATATAATAGTTAATTAAAAAAAAAAAAAAAAAAAAAAAAAAAAAGAATATGCGGGCGTAAGAGTGCGCGAATAAGGATGAGAAAAGCAAGAGAAAAAAAACAACTTTTTTAGTCACATCCCGTGCAAGATATGTTAAAAAAATTTTCATCCATTTATATTTCAACTCTTCTAAAAGATGCAACAACAAATATGAAAAATAAATACTTACCTTGTTTTTTTTTTTTTTTATTTTGCACATCCTTATACATATATACATATAAATATATTTATTCTTCATTTAATTATTATTCATAAAAATTAAATAAAAATAAAAATTGTTATTCGACAAATTACATTTAATATACAAAAATATCAAATAATAGAAAACTCATAATCTCTCTCTCTCTCCCTTCTCTTTCTCTTTCTTTCTTTCTCTCTTTCTGTGTATGTGAGTGTGTTCATTTTGATACTTGTCGTCGTATGTTACTCTTTCGAAGAGAGCCTTCTCGCCATATGTGGCAAGGACGACGATTCGTTTGGTATTGGCTGTTTATAACGGGGCCCCGGGTCTTACACACTTGAACACTTCGTGACTGTAGTTGTTGCAGTTGCAACTTGCAATTGGTTGTTCCCTTCTTCTTCTTCTTCTTCTTCCTCGATGAACGAAAAGAGAGAAAGAGAGAGAGAGAGAGAGAGAGAGAGAGAGAGAGAAGAGCATCAAGCACCAGGCACCAGAGAGCAGCAAAGCAGCAGAACAAAAAAAAAAGAAAAAGGATTAACAAGAAGAAATTCCATCCACTGTACGTTACGATTGCGATCGCGATTCTCGTCGCAATCTTTTTCTTTCGATGAAAATCTTTCATTTAATTATATTTCAGAAAAAGAGGGTGGTGGTGGTGGTGGTGGTGGGGTTACGGAGAGGGGGGTTACGGGGGAAGAGGTGGAGGAGGAAGAAGAAGAAGAAGAAGAGGAGGAGAATGTTACGAAGGACGTTCATAATATTTTCTCTCGGTTTGTAATGTTTTTATTTATTTTTTTTATTTTTTATTTATTTCATTTCATTTCATTTCATTTCATTCGATTTTTATGATTTAATTCTGTTTCGTAGTTTTTTTTGTATGTGTATTTTTTGTTGATTTTATTTCATTTTGTATCACTTCGTTTCGCCGTACATTTTCTCTTTCTCTTTCTCTCTTTCATTTTTTTTATTTTTTTATTTTATTTCGTTTTGTTTTGTTTTGTTTATCTCGTAAATTTCACAATTTTTTAGAATTAATAGATAATAAATGATATATATAATATTTTAAAATATAGGCAACGTTGCGTATAATAATAATAATAATAATAATAATAATAATAATAATAATAATAATAATAATAATCATAATCATAATAATAAAATAGTAATATATATATATATTTATATATTTAATATATTATAGGCGATAACTGCAGAAAACTTTGCACGAATAATAATAATAATAATAATAATCATTATAATAATAATAATAATATTAATATTAATGTCGGTTACACTTTAATCATCGTGTTATCCGGTCTCGTTCGTCATCGATCATTAATATTATTATATTACTTAATAATTAACGCAGCGATTCTAACGCGTGTCGCTTTAATTGCAATAGTTGGTAAGAAGAAGAGCTGGCAAAGGAGGGGAAAGGGGGGAAGTGGGCTTGTGTAGAGGGGGGTTGAGAGGGGTTACGAAGCTTAGGCTTAAATAGAGAAAGATAATCTGGGTTTTTTTATTTTTTTTTTTTTTAACAAACAATGCGTTTTAGGCCTTTGCATGCTCTGTTGTGTATGTTTGTGTGTCTGTGTGTGAGTTTTATTTATTTTTTTCTTTTTTAATTACTTACACGTGTCTTCTTATTTTTTTTTTTATTTTTTAAATGTCAACTAATTTCTTTTTTTTTTTTTTAATTTTATTTTTGGATAATAATTAAAAAAAAAGCTCGACGAATCGTTGTTACAGCGAAAGAAATGAAATTCTTAAATAAAAATGATGATTATTATTTATTTATTTATTTATTTATTTATTTATTTATTTATTTATTATAGTATTATATTAGTATTATTATTATTATTATTAGTATTATTACACCGAGACAGCAAAATGGACGTTCGTTGTCCGACAAGATTTTCACTACTCGCCATCGATCCGACTTTTTTTTCACGACTTTTTTTTTTTTGTCTTCTAAATTTTCATTGATTTCATCTAATTACTTTTTTTTATTATTATTTCTAATTTCTAGAATGATTTCTACACAACGATGGTATATTTTAAACACTTTTTCGATACAATTTTTCTTTTTTTTCTTTAAAGGATCGCAATTTTGGCAGTCAATTTCTACGCTTTAATTAATGTTTTTTTTTTTTTTGTATGTTTTGTTTTTTTTCTTTCTTCCTTTCAAAACGTGATAAGGAAAAACTTTTTTACGAATAGCGCAATTCTTTTTTCCTTTTTTTCTTTTCTTTTTTTTCAAAGCTTTTAATCTCTCTTTCTTTC